ACACCAAAGAATGATCTTTTCAGGGAGAGGAACACAACCATGTACAAGCCCACAGCCACACCTGCATGCACACAGAGGAAGAAAGAAAAGCAATCAAGGAGATGTCCATGTATGTATGGCAAACACACGTACACATTTAGGGAAGTCAGAGGAAGAATAGGGGAGAGATTAATCAGGTCTTTCTTTTCTTCACATGCCTGATTCTTTGCCAAAATTTAAATCAAATAAATCTATAATGCAATTTCCAGTAGGAGTGCATTCTCTTAATACAATTCTGACTGGCTGACACTAGCAGATACATCTCCTTTACTGAACAAATTGGCATAGGTCTTCTCCCTTAACTGGTTCAGTGATCACAAATGGAATCAAAACATACCATAAGACTTTTTGCTCCAGTCTCTTAGGACTTGGAGTATTGCCAAAAGCCAATACAGAAATGAGAAAAATGGGGTGGGGGTGGGGGAGGAGTGTACTTCCCTGCATGCATCTCTGGGAATACAGCCAAAAGTATGAACACATTCACCTTAGAGATGGGGGAGAGAGAGAGAAGGGATGTAGGTGGCAGGCAAGGAAGGCTTATTTGCATTTCCCACTGAGCTCCATCTTCTATTTCAGACCAGCTTTTCTGCACAAAGTAAACTGTAGCATTCCCTAATGGGTTTAGCAGACACCCACTACGAACTGGGAAGTTTTACATTTCATATTTATCTTTGTGCATTTCCCCTTGTTGCCAGCATCAGACAATGAAGGTTCAGGAAGCTTTCACCCTTAATCAAATGTTTCCCAGCATATGGCTTGTCAGTAAAATGCTTCCAGGAACAGATTTAAATCCATTTTAGAAACCTGGTACGGTGTGCATATGTGTGTGCGTGTGTGCATATCTGTGACAGAGTTTGTCAGTGGCAGCTTCTGGTCTGAGTGCGGTTCACATCGCCATCTCAGGATGGGGTGCCTCCTCCAGCTCTGGTCGGGAACTCCCAACCCTCCTTCCATTCTGATCACAAGGATTCTAGATTTAATAGCAATTCAGCCCAAAGAAATAGATACATGTAATTTTGCGTGCCTTCTCAAAATAGACACAAAACCAGGCCAAAGTAAAAACAAAACAAAACAGGGTATCTTTATGGGCTGTGAAACAAACTCCCAAATCCACATTGTGGAGCTACCTCAACTATGTGAACCTAAAAGGTATAAAAATCTGTACAAGTTGTCAAGATATCCAGATCCTTTTTTTTTCCTGGCAAAAATGTTACAAAAAACAGGCAGGGAGAGAAAGATGGGTAGTTACTAAAATCTCATCTCATTTCGTCTCT